GATGATATTTGAAAGGTTTAAAACTAATGAGCTGCAATCGTTGGATTAACTGTCTGTATTTAAATTTGATGATGCAACTGCTGTGATTGTTATGTATCCAATGGTATTGAAGGAAGCAAGAATGGAAATTGAAGAGGCACTGTCAATCATTTCTAATGCTCCTCAGACTCAGAGGCAGTCCCAGAGGTCTGGAAAATTGCAAACATTACACGATTTTCAACAGATAAGTCCGGCAATTCCAGCCCAGCCAGCTTAACAGTGGTGAGAAGTCACTAGAAACAATAATTCAGAACAAAATATATCATCAAATGGAGAAAGGTGCATTAATTAAGGAAAGCCAACATGGATTGTTTAAGGACCACTTTTTTAACAAATTTTAACAAATTTTTTGGAAGTATTTTGGATGAGAGGTTTCATAAAGGATATTCTGTTGACATGATATATGCAGAGTTCCAAAAGTCATCTGATACAGTGCCATGTGATAGTGAGCAAAGCTATAGCTCATGAAACAGTTGCAACCGGGATGTGAAACTGGCTCTGTGGTAGGAAACAGGGTAGTGGTAAAGGGATGTTTCTCGGACTGGAGAAAGGATTGCAGTGTGTTTCTCCAGGGGTCATGCTGGGACTCTTTTGCTTCCTGACCTAGACCTTGGTGTGTCCAATACAATTTCAAATCATGCAGGTGAGAATAAACCTGGAAGCACTGTGAACTGTGAGAAGCACAACAAAAAGCTTCAAAATGACACAGATAAGTTGATGGAATGGGTGTACAAGGAGCAGCTGAAATTTAATGCAGAGCGTGTGAACTGATTCGCTTTGGGAGAAAAAGCAGGGATAGCTAATTTAAAATACAGGGTTCAATTCTGGAAGTGACCTCAGTGACCAGAGTGTACATATGTACAAGTTATTGAAGGTGACGGGAGAGGTGAGAGAGCAGTTAATAAAGCATGCAGCATCCTAGGTCTTATTAAAGGGGAGAGAAAGTAAGTACATTATGCTAAACTTGCATAAAACAGTATGTCCAGTGCTGCACTTTAAAAAAGCTGTGAAAGCATTAGACAGAGTACAGAAAAAGATTCACAAGATTGGTGTAGCAGGGATGAAGGAATTCAGTTATACCAAAAGACTGGAGAAGTCATACGAGTATGGTTCCAACAGCATTTAAGAAGCTCAACATCTTTCAGGATAGGGCAGCCCCACTTAAATGGCAATGCGTCAGCATTCACTCTGAATAACCGCTGAAGTGTCCTTTACCTACTGTATCTCATTGCCAAGGCTCCCTCAAAACGCACCTTCCAACCTCTAACATATGGAAAGGCAGGCATAGGATCCACATGGGAACACCACTAGAATGAACAGTGAAGAAGGTTATCTCAGAGTAGAATGGGATTTTGATCAACCAGGCCAATGGGATGAGCAGCAGAGGGAGTTTAATTTAGAGAAATGCAAGGTGTTACATTTTGTTAAGGCAAACCAGGACAGGACTTACACAGTTAATGGTAAGGCACTGGAGTGTGTTGTTGAACAGAAAGACCCAGGGTTTCAGGTACATACTTCCTTTAAAGTGGTGTCACAGGTAGACAGGGTGGTGAAGAAGGCATTTGGCACACTTGCTTTCATTGGTCAGAACACTGAGTATAGGAGTTGGGACATCATGTTGCAGCTGTACAGGACTTTGGTGAGGTCTCTTTTGGAGGGGTTTGGCTTATGAGGAGAGACTGAGTAGATTGGGATTATATTCATTGGAATTCAGAAGATTGAGGGGGGATCTTATAGAAACATATAGGTAATAGATAAGATAGAAGTAGAGAGGATGTTTCCACTAGGACAAGAGGGCATAGCCTCAAGATTAGAGGGAGCAGATTTAGGACTGAATTGAGAAGGAACTTCTTCACCCAGAGGGTTGTTAATCTATGGAAGATAAGGTAGATTTTTTTGAACAATAAAAGAATTAAGGAATACGGTGAGAACGCGGGTAAGTGGATCTGAGTCCACGAAAAGATCAGCCATGATCTTATTGAATGGCGGAGCAGGCTCGAAGGGCCAGATGGCCTACTCCTGCTCCTAGTTCTTATGTTCTTTTTTGGAGTACTGCATACAGTTCTGGTCAGCTCGCTATAGGAAGCATATTATTAAATTAGAAAGGGTACAAAAAGGATTTGCAAGGATGTTACTGGGACTGGAGGGTTTCAATTACAAAGAGAGGCCGGATAGGGTGAGACTTCTTTCTCTGGAGTGTCGGAGGTTGAGAGGTGACCTTCTGGAGGGCTATTAAAAAAAAACGAGGAATATAAAAATGGTGAATAGCCAATTCCTTTTGCCAGTGTAGGGGAGTTCAAAACTAGAGGGCATAGGTTTAAATTGAGAGGGGAAAGATTTAAAAGGGACCCGAGGGGCAACTTTTTCACACAGATGGTGGTTTGTATCTGGAATCAACTGCCAGACAAAGTGGTAGATGCAGGTACAGTTACAACATTTAAAAGACATTTGGACAGGTACATGGATAGGAAAGGTTTAGAGGGATATGGACCTAAAGTAGGCAAATGGCAGTAGTCCATTCTAGGAACCCTGGTTGGCATGGACGAGTTGGACCTTAGGGTCTGGGTTTCCGTGCTGTATGGCTCTATGGTGCCAGGGATGAGGACTGTCAGACATGTAGATAATTTAAAAGTTGGAACTATTTTCCTTGGAAAAAAGGCTGAGATTTGATTTGATAAAGGGTTTCAAAATCACAAGGTTCTGGGCAATGCAGTTAGAGAGAAATAGTTCCCATTGGTGGAAGAATCAAGAATAAGTTTTAGGAAACTGGCAAGAGAAGCAATGGAGACAGAAGGAAAAGTCTTTTTCACACAAGTGGTTACAATCTGGAATATGCTGCCTGTGTGTATGGTAAAGGCAGGTTCGTTCAAGGCATTGAACAGGGAATGGATTATCTGAATGAGGCAGATTATGGAACTGGGTAATTTGGTCAGAAAGCTGACACAGACATGACAAGCTGAATGGTCTCCTTCCGTACTGCTTCAATTCTGAGATTCTCTCATAGTGTGCAACAGCAGTAATGTGTGCAAGTAGGTGACTAGAAATTCCCTGGGATCTCGAGGAGATCCTACGGTTCCCTATTACTTTCTGCATGGCAGTATCCCAGCCAAGCGGAGTCACCTAGCCAAGCAACAGCCCTCTTTTCTCCTGTAGCATACATTATTGTGATTGTTTGAAAGGTAGCATTCTTGCATTTGTCCTTCTGAGTGCAAGACAACAAGATTCAGAAATACATCAGGCAAGTCCTTGAGAAATGTAAAGGAATCAGGAAACAGCTTAAACAAAAAATTAGGGGGGTCTTCAAAGGACCATGGAATTTTCTTAGCAATTAGGATTAAGGAGAGCCCCGAGGCATTTTATACATATATTAGGGAAATAGTAGGTCCATTCAAGGACAAAGGAGGGAATTAATAATGGGAGCCAGAGAAATTGGGGAGGTCTTTAATGAGTACTTCACATCAGTATTCAGCAAGAAGAACATGATTGATGGCAGCATTCGGGAGGGCTATGTGAATACTCTAGCTCATGTTGATATTAAAGAGGAGAGGGTGTTGGGTGTCTTGCAAAATATTAAGGTAGATAGTCCCCAAGGCTTGATGGGTTCTATCCCAGAATACTGAAGGAGGCAAGGGAGGAGATTTCTGGGTCCGAAATGGAGATCTTTGTATCCTCTTTAGCTGCATGCAAGGTACCAGAAATCTAGAGAATAGCCAATGTTGTTCCTTCATTTGAGAACGGTTTTGGGAATAATCCAGAAAATTATTGGCCAGTGAGCCTTACATCAACAGTACAGAAATTATTGGACAAGATTCTTAGAGACAGGATTTAATCATATTTGGAAAAGAATGGACATATTAGGGATAGTCAACATGGCTTTGTGCAGGCGCGGTTTGTCTCCCAAATCTGACTTTTTTTGAGGAATTGACAAAGATGATTGATGAGGGTAGGGCAGTGGATATTGTCCACATGGACTTACTAAAGCATTTAACAAATTCACTCATGGTAGGTGGTCCAGAAGATTAAGTTATATAGGATCCACGGTGAGTTGGTAAGATTGATATAGAATTCACTTGGTCATTGTAGACAGAGGGTAGTGGTGGAGATCTGTGATTGGTAGTTTTCCACAAGGATCAGTGCTGTTGGTTGTAATATATATCAATAAACTGGATGAAAATTAGGTGGTCTGATTAATAAGCTTGCAGGTGGCATGGAAATTGTTGCAGCTGTGGATTGTGAGAAAGGTTATAAAAGAATACAGCAGGATATAAATGACTTGGAAAGTTGGGCAGAGATATGGCAGATGGGGGTGATGCATTTTGAGAGGTCAAATGCAAGAGGAAAATATATTGTAAATGGCAGGACCCTTAAGAGCATTGATATACAGAGGGATCTTGGGATGCAGGTCTATAGCTCCCTGAAAGTGGCAATATAAGTGGATAAGGTATGAAAGAAAGCAGACAGCATGCTTGCCTTTATCTGTAAGGGCACTGAGTAAAAGCGTGAGCAAATAATGTTGCAGCTGTATGAAATTTTAGTCACGTCATGTGGAATATTGTGTGCAGTTATGGTCGCCACATTATAGGAAGAATGTGGAGGCTTTGAAGAGGGTGCAAAAGTGGTTTAACAGAATGTTGCTTTGATTGAAGTGTATTAGCTATAAAAGGAGAGGTTGGACAAACATGGATTGTTTTCGCTACAGCATCAAAGGCCGAGGGGCAACCTGATAGAAGCACGGCAAAGTTTTTATTAACTGGCACCTTCGGGACCAGGAGTGTGCTGTTTGATCAAATATTCCAGATAATCAGAAGCTCCACGTGATCAATGTAAAAACACACACTAAGTAATTGAAACGTAATGCAGGAGATATACATGTCACTGTTATACTTTATTTACAGCATAAATCACTGAAATAAGGCAAAGTTGCATTATTAAATAAAAGTAACTGGCAGACAGCAACTCACTTGCATCCTCAATTGACTACTCGGACATCACGGTAGATTGTGCTGTTTGAGAAGAAATTGACTCGAAATTAGATCAACTGTTGATCTTTCATGTGGGCATTCAATTGGACAAGTATATTTACACTGAGGTAAATAAATTAAATAACCATAATAATTGGACAGAATAATACAGTGAACTTCGTGGTATTTGAGGTATGTAATTCTTGCTGGTTTATCAAGAGTGCTGCTTAAAATAAACTTTGCTGGGTTTAAAATTATGAGGGGTATGGACAGGTTGGATGGTTGGGGTTTTTTTGGGCCAGGATGAAAATTACAAATACTAGGAGGCATAGTTTTAAGATGAGAGAGGGAAGGTTTAAAGGAGATGTGCGAGGCAAATGTTTTTTTTAAACACAGTAAGTGGTAGGTGCCTAGAAAGTGCTGCTAGGGCGGGTTGCAGAAACAGATATAATAGCGATGTTTAAGAGACATTTACATAGACACATGTACAGACAGGGACCATTTGTAGGCAGATGGGATTAGTTAAGAAAGGCATCATGATTGGTGCAGACACAGGGGGTCAAAGGGCCTGCTCCTCTGCTGTATTGTTCTATGTTCGACGTCTCTTTTTTTGGCAATACTCAAGCTCTGCACAACTTAGCAACTAGTTTCAAAGTATATGGAATTTTGTCACTTCTGGGAAATTTAACATTTTGCAAATACGAAATTAGCTTCTTGGGGCCAATTAGAGAATTTAAAGCTAATTGTGAAGTTAATACATTGTGAAAAATGAAATTACACTTCATTTGGGGTGACAAACAGATTAAAAGAAAAAGGTCTTGTGAATTCGATTAATATTCCATTGTTTAAAATCTCGAGTTGCCTTAATAGTGCATTCCCTGGAGAAGCGCAGAATTACTAAACTACAATTCTACATTCTTCTGTGCAGTCTATTCTGTGGACTTCCGAAGCTGCTTCAGTAAAGTCAGTGAATGAAGCAAGTTTCATTATTATTACCATAAAATTTAAAAAACAAGGAACGTAATATACCCTTACGAAAAACTTGTCAGGCCTGAGCTGGAGTACGGTCTTCATTTCTGGGTATCACGCTTTGAAGATGATGTCTGGGCCTCATGTAAGTTGTTCCCCAATTACACAGATTGAAGCAGATGAGTAAAAGAGCCAGAGAAAATTAATTTCTTTTTAAACTGCAAAGTATTATGATCTGGAAGGGATTAATGCTGCAGAAGTGATGGAAGCAGATTCAACAGTAACCTTCAAAAGAGAATTGGATAAATACTTGAAGGCAAAACAAATTAGGACCTTGGAGGAATAGCAGGGTGAGAGACTGATCAGAACAGTCTCCTGTGCTGTACGATTCTATAATGGACCTAACCATATTGCAATACAACAGCTAACAGTGATTTATTTGAGGTAATCACAGTTGGAGCCATTTCTGTCTTTGTCTGAACACCCACCCCCGCTTCCTTATTAAATGGTGATTTATGAAGTTATAGTATCAGGGCAATATTTCTTCATCAAAGCCAGACAATCCTGGAGAGAACTTGAATTTCCAGTCTTTTACGGCTTAACAGTTTAGATTTCGTTAAAACTTGTAACGTAATTTCAGCAGGAAAGTTTTTTATAAACAGTACAAACAATGGAACTTTTAAAAAATTTAGAAATATTAACAGTAAATACTCAGAGCATATTTAAGTGAATGTTGCATTTTTGTTTCACAAGACAACATATTAACAGCGTACCTTGGATTTTCCCTGTTTTCCGATTCATGTAGGCAGAATCTCTCATGTCTCACAAACTGGGACATATGGTTATAGCTGCCACTTTTTCAAGTTGTTAAGGACCAGGTAAGGAAGAATTTGGGGATGGAATAGAGAGATGTGCAGGGGCAGAAATAGAGACATGTGGGGAAGGGAAGGAGAGGGAGGAGGACCAGGGAGAGGGGAAGATGTAAGGGGTACAGGGGAATGTAACAAATTCCATAGCTCTGAGAGAAAGAAGGAGCAAATAAATGGCAGTGCAGCGTGCCTGGATTCTCACTCACCAAAACAACTTAGGTCCAGTGCAGACCACAAATGAGCTGGTGAATCCATTTTACTCCTATTGCTTCATTTCCCACCCACACAGTTCAGGAATTTGCACTATTTCCTACTGGAATTCACAGCTGATTTTGGCCACCTGGAGCTGCTATCTCACTCAGAAATTCTTGCCTCAAGGTCCCAGTTGATTACAAGATTCCCATCTGTTGCATCTTGAGGAGTATTGCTGGTGTCCAGTTCCAAGACACCACCAGTTCTAAAGAAGAGGCATATATTGCCATAATGCTCCACATGTATACAAGTGAAAAAGATACATCATGCATGTACACAAATAGGAGGGACACTCAAAAAAAAAATCAAATGGGGCAGGGTAACACACAGAGTAAGAAAAAAGCAAAGTACAAGAGTACTTCAGTCTGTGGGCAGGTGAAGAGTGAGCTAAGAAAGAAAAAGAATTAGTGGAGGAGTGCACCACACAGACAGATTGTTATTGGGAGGGACTGACATTCAGAGAGGTATCATGTTGAGAAGGTCCAAAATGTCAGTGCAGAAAGAACTGGAGAATGAAAAGTGCAGTAAAAACAAATTCAGCCAAGTCAGAAGAAAGGCAAACAGGCTCATCACGTATGTACAGTACTTCATAACCCAAAGTTTATGTTTAATAAAGACATCTCCATGCCACACACCGCCTCCCCCGCCCCTGCCAAACATTCCCCTGAACTAACAGGAATCCTGGCAGCTGCCCCGCTGTGTTCCAACCTTGGAATTTAACAGATCCACTGAAACCTTGGGAAGTTACTCTGGGACTGATTTATTGACCAAGTTTACTTATGGCTGCTGAGAAAAATAATAAACATATTTACCGAAAAAGTGACACAACTAAGTGGAAACTATACCAATGCCAGTGGTTATCCACCTTTGACGTTTTGTAGGAAAACACTTACAGAATCCTAGCTAATTATAGAGACTTTTATCAATTTTTTAAAAAAAATATAAGCCATTAACTCAGAAGTACATTTGCTACGATGTTTAGTGACTTGCTTCTCAAATGTGGGCAAGTTACATCCTGCTGCTTTATTTTCCAGCATCTCACACATGCACGTTCAGCCCAAATTGAGAAGTTTACCAGGCTAACACATCAGAAACAGTAAATACTATTACACAAGCAATACCGAGATTACAGACTATACATCAACAACTTTTCTAAGGGCAAAAAATACTTGGCAAGTAAGACAAAAAATTATTGCTGAATAATCCTAGGAAATGTGTCCCCTAAAACGGACATCTTTTCCAATATTTTTTACTGCCAATTCCACCGGGAGAGTAATACAATCCCCAGCTGCAGAATTACTTTCCTCATTGTTCATACAACTTGCAAAGATTTTCTAGTTCCTAGTTTAGGCACTGCATTATTTATCAAATACAAATACTAAGAACAGCCAGTTACTATATTTTGTACACCACTTATAGCAATCTCCAAATTTTACCTACCTCCTCCTCCTCCTAAAATAGATTCAGCAAATACTTCCTCTCACACTCAACTGACGAGAGCTCCGTACAACCCCGTGCTGTACGCAACATTGTAAGAGTGCAGAACAATTAAGCATCAGGAATGTACAGCACATTAAAATTAGTGGTGCTGATCTAGTAACACAAGGGAGTAAAGTTTCAATGACAGGCGTGCATTGAGCACTTTGGGCAGGACAAGTTACGTATGGGGCTGTAACTTTTAAAGCCAAGCCACTCCTCCTGTAAATGACAGCTGAATATATCTGCAGCTTAAAATTCACAAATGTTGAGCTTAATGTGGACAGCTGCCCTCATGTGTCATGTATCTGGAATGAGGCTCACAGCTGTGGAAGTGGGGGATACAGAGAGCAGAGGGAGAACAAAGCTGAGGGGGAGCAGCTAGTGCAAGAACAAGAGGAAAGTGAGCAAGGGGGGAAAAGAAGAAACAGGAGGACGCAGTGGGGTAAAATGGGTAAATGGGATGAAGAGAATAAGAGGATGGGCGCGGGGAGCGAAGGAGGGGTGCGGGGAGCGAAGGAAGGGTGCGGGGAGCGAGGGAGTGATGTGGAGTGCGAAGGAGGGGTGCAGAGTGCGAAGGAGGGGTGCAGAGTGCAAAGGAGGGGTACAGGAGTGCGAGGGAGGGGTGCAGAGTGCGAGGGAGGGGTGCAGAGTGCGAGGGAGGGGTGCGGAGTGCGAGGGAGGGATGCGGAGTGCAGAGGAGGGGTGCAGAGTGCCAGGGAGGGGTGCTGAGTGCCAGGGAGGGGTGCAGGGAGTGAGAGAGGGGTGCAGGGAGTGAGGGAGGGGTGTAGGGAGTGAAGGAAGCAGCAGGAAAGGAGGGCAGGGGTGGGTTTTCCAGCTTTGTTCTACCCAGATTATTTACTATTCCTGGTTCATTCTGGATTGCCAAAATAACCATTGTCTTCTTTCCTCCACTGCAGTACGCCTTTTTAATCACTCTGTCCCCATCTCCTTGTGCCAGTAGGAAAAGTGCGTAGAACTCTTTGTTACCAAAGCAACAGCTGCCTGTCACATCCCTCCCTTCCACTAGTCCATGTGGCCAAACTTCCTTTCACATTCTCTACCTCTAAACGCATCAGCTGTAGTTTTTCTGCCATCTTTCCCCATTCCTTCCTGGAAATTATCTTGTCCTTGGGACCCACTGCCCACTTGCCATATCCTATTCCCCCTAAAATCCTCACTAGCCAGCTTTCCTTCAAGTCCCCATGTTAGTCTCTCTCTTCAGGTGTTAGACTTCTCCTTCAATCCACTCTTTAAGCCTTAATGCCACATGCTAGAAAGTTGCTACCCTATCTCATACTCCCCTCCAGCCCCACCACACCCGGCACTTTTCCCTGCAACCGCAGGAAGTGCTACACCTGCCCCCAACACCTCCCCCCTCACCCCCATCCCAGGCCCCAAGAAGACTTTCCACATCAAGCAGATGTTCACCCGCACATCTGCCAATGTGGTACACTGTATCTGCTGTTCCCGTTGTG